TTTTCTGAACTGCTCTTCTGCATGGTGCTACGGTGAAAAGCGGCTGAAATGCATCAGAACAGCTGCATGCTCACACAATAAGTTATTATCAAGATTCTAAGGAAAATGGAAGGTGAAAATTGCAGTATTTTTAACCATCACAGGAATTATATAGGAGAGCAGCCTTCCCAAAATATTAGTGTGACAAAACAACTATTTGAAAGTGGTTCTTAGCTTCCCATCAAATTATTTGACATGATTGTTATCACAGCAACAACGTTCTATTCTGTGACTACACCTTTTTTTCCATCATACTTCAAGGGCGGGCAGCACAACAGACTTCACAAGCAAGTTGTGCTCCAGGTGGGCTGGGCTTCCTCCCCAGCAGATATATCTAGCAATTTAAAGGGTATTTCTATCATTGTCAGACAAGGAAGAAAAAATAAAGCTTGGAAAAAAGACTCCAAAACAGCACTCAAATGCATTCAGAATAATTCAGTAATTGCTCTACTAATTGCAACACAAAAGGCAGTCAAGTTAACCTGTTAGAGGGAGTACTCTATGGGGGTCAGCAAAATAAAAACAAAAGTAATAAAAAATACTTAAGAGATTCCACCATTACATTTTGCATACAAATATATTGTCTTCATGGTGTAATTCAGTGGGTTTTGATCCTACATGTTTTCTGAGATTTACACAGGAATATTTTCACTGACAAGACGTGAATAGTGCAAGTCTAAATCTTTAAAATACCTTTAAATACCTTGCAACTAGTTCTTGCTGCATTTATATACTAAAGCTCACTAATTAGAGGTCTCAGGATGTCAGAAAGCAGAGGTGCTCATGTGGGCAAAGGCAAATGCATGTTGCAATTCAAATTATGACAGTGGTTTGAAGAGAACACTCTTGTAAATACTATTTGGGTTATTGTGTCAGGCAGTGGAGGTTTCATTTTGTGGTTTAAATCAAGAATAGCTACAATACATCTGCCAGAAACCAGACCAAGGTTATCTAACCAACAAAGCAGCTTATAAAAGGTCTCTTATCATACGCTCAAGGTACATGATTCTATAAAGCTTCTCAAAGTATCATGCTTACAAAATGGCACTTCTCACGGGTTCAGAAAGTCAATATAATTGGACAGGAAATAGGCCTTTGACAAGTCAGAATCCACAACGGGTTAAAACAGACACTCTTTTCCTAGGAGACTTCAGCAGAACAGAAGCAGGTTTCTCACGTTTTTCATACTTGATGTCTCTGGTGACCTCTTAAAAGTAGATCAAATTACTGAAACACCTTGATGACTATGAGCAGCACTGCATAAATACAAATTTTTGAGACTGAAAAGCTCAGTATTAATAGCAGCAATTGTCCACTGCAAGCCACAGGGATAATGAAGGATGCTCTTGCTATTAACATTCCTCTCCTCCTTCAATGGGAACAGCTCAACCACACCAAGGAGATGAAAACATGTCCCAAGAGGCTGCTCCCACCTGTGATCCAGTGAGTGGATGTACGTGCCCATTATTTGTTTGTACTGAATTATATCGGATGCATTATTCAAATCCAGTACACAGTGGGGGAAAATAAAGAGATCCCCAGCAGGTAAACATCAACATAACCATTTATCAATAACACAGCTAGTCAACCTTCAAAGCACTCCTGGACATCTGATAAAATGCAGTACAAAATGCCATCATACTCTGCTCTTACATTGGCTCCAAGGGAGAGCTTAACATCCACCATCCATTCAGCTTGCATCAACTTGCTGTAATTCTCTTCAATAATTCCATAAAACAGAACACATACTATACACCCATATACACTACTATACTTTCACAACTCTGAAAAAGAGGAAGTGATTAATATGAACTAGTTTGGGAAATTTTGCCCAATTCCAAACATACTGAACAGGAACATGTCCATTTTACTCAATCTGGCAGCATTTCCAGTGTGCCTGCAATGGTGCAATTTAAGGCTGCAGTGACTAACACTGGCCAGAACTGATGAAGATTGCACATCCCACCACATTTTGCATTAGCTTTCACACTTATTTTTGTTTTTATGGAGGCAAAAAGTGGTAATAACAAAAAGTTATTTTTGTTTTTTTTTTTGCCTGTTCTGCTTAGGCCTTCTAAGCAGCTGCTGCTCACAAGCTGCTGTCATTCTTCTCATCTGTATACACAAGGTAGAAATACTTTTGCCCTACAGAAAATAAATAATGTTGTAAAAAGGCATAATTGGGCACTAGAATTTTCAAAAATCATGCCCACTAAAATATACTTAGATAAATATTTTGAAACAATTAGGGGCCAAATCCATCCAATAAAACAAATCTCTAGTACAAGAAATAAAAATAAATCAAATCTCATCTATTCAGCTTCAGAAACTTTTAGAAAGCAAAAGTAAAAATGTCACATAGGCTGTTATAAACTGTAGCACTGCAGAGACTGAAAGTCCAGCAGAGTAATCCTAAAGGACAATCAGAATTCTGCCAACACTATGTTTTTGCTGCAGAAATCCTAGGTTCACGCTCTTCAAGGTGGATTTCAAGTCCTAGTGAACAAATGGTACTAACTCAATTGGATCGTGCGCTGTTTGCTGTGTCAGAGCTTTTTGCCAAACATATATATAATTTTTCTTTTTGCTATATGGATAATCAACCCCAGATGGCAATTTACATAGGCAACAGCATAAAGGAATCCACGCTCTGCTGGTGCTCTCAGCCTCAATCAGAGCAAGCACGGGCGTTTGAGAATGTCACTGTTTATTTTTAATTGCTGTGTCCCTCCTTTGTGCAGGTTCAAGCGGTCAAAGACGTCGCAGTCCATTAGCACAACTGGAAAGTGATGCCACTTCATTTGGCGAGAGAGTTCCTCAAATTTAAAAAGCAGCTGGTTTGCAATGTCCCTAAATGCCCAGTGGGCACCAGCTGTCAATCTCAGTTACCACGGGGTCAGGGCAAAGAAAGGTCAGAGGGAGTCATAAACCACAGCGTGTTGTGAAATGTGCTTCCTCCGCTCCCTTGTAGGCCTGAGAAAGGCCTGACCTTGCGTGGGTGCCGCGGGCTGGCTCCATGCAACGCGAGCAGGGGCAGAGCACAACACACAACTCGAACCTCGCAAGTCGCTTCCTCTCGCTGGCCAACTGGCTTCCCTACCTGTGCGACAGGAGCCCTCACAAGCTGCTCCGGCCGTAACACCCAGCAAAGATCTTCACCAGTACTGCCCCACCCAGATGTGCCTCTTACAAACTGGTATGAAGATGAATCCATTAATACTTACTGAAAATAAATTGAAACTTTGAGGGAAGCGGTTAATGCCATTAATGCCGAGTGATCTGGCTCCTCTTCATCACTGCTCTGCTTGTCTGCTACTCGCCTTTTACCTCCTTGCTCCCTGGAGGTAGCAGGGGTAGAAGCATTGGCTTTTTTTAAGTACCTCTGAAAGTATCTTAAATGTGTTTTTGTTTTTTAAGTCTCTCCTACCGTGCTCTTGAATGTCCTCTTGCAATAGGCAAGTTTGTGACGTTCTTGTCTGATCCTCAGAGAATGGACTGCAGTTCCTAGATGTATTTCTCCAACACATTCTTGGACGCTACATGACGAGCTAATCAGTCCCTTCTACACAGTGTGGTTACGCATTCCTCCTCTGAAAGGAATAATTACCTGCCTGTCTCTCCCCCAACTCCTGGAGCCCAAAGCAACAGGAAATTTGACCAGCAAGGGGAAAGGAGCTGCCTTGGCTGTGCAAGGCCCCTTGGTCCGCAGGCATCACTCACTGCCCCGCACTCCTAATCACTTGTCTCTCCTTGGAGCCCTCCTGCCGCCGGGTCCCAGACAGCAAGCAGGAAACAAAGGGAAAGGGACGGGAATCTGACAAGGGCAAAGCAGGGGAGGCTGCTGCAGTCCTAGCTAATGCTAGTGCCTGCAGAAATGCAAGGCAGGGCTCCCAGAACAGGCTGCATGTGCGAGCAGGGCAGGGAAAACAGCCATCATGCGGTGTGTGCCATGCAGATTATTTTTAGCAAAAGGTAATCGTGATAAATACCACAGTGCCGGACAGCCCAGAAGGGTCTGAGGCTGACCTAAAACTGTCAGTTACCAGCACAACGCTCCAGCTGAGATCAGTGCCTCACTTGGTTGTTCACCTGCCCATGAGGTACAAGCAAAGGTAGGGATGCAGCATGCCCACTTAGTGAAAGAAATAAGATCCTTTTAACAACAGCTTTTAAGGATAGTAAAGGCCTGGAAAGGTCCTATCCAACCACACACTCAAGTCTTGGCTCATTCAGGGCAAATAATAGAAGGGAAAGTCAGTGCAGCCTAAAACCAGCACCTGTGAAATAGACTTTGCTCATTTCAAATAGCAGGTAGCTTGATGTCTTTCAAGAAATAATACATTCTAAGGAAATAAAACAGTAGCAATTCAAAGGCCATTGAAAAGCCTCTCAGCTTTCTACATGCTCTCTAAAGCACCAGACTGCAGCAAGCCACAGGCTGCATCCCCGCAGCACTCTCTGAACCTGCTGACATCAATTAAACACCCAGCACACAAAGGCAATGTGCATCAAGCCCGTCCCTACCCTCCTCCTGGCACTTCCTCAGCTTCCAGCCACCTCTGGAAGGCTTCGCAGCTAGGGGCTTTTGCAAGCTGCCTCGCCACAGTACAACATCTAAAATGCAAGTAACCTCCCCAAAATGCTGTTCAGGCGGTGGGCATGTCCCATCCTGGAAACGTGTCCACGTTGCTTTCTTGAAGTTGAAGATGTAACACGCTAAGCTAAACCAGCTTCCTAGCCTCTTCATCCAACTGAATTGAGCAGGTAACTTTATCAGCTGCCTCATTTAAAAATCTCAGTGTTTCTCTCTGTTATAAGCTCGGTTTATAGCAGAATAACAGGAAAACAAAGACACTGAAAATAACTGAATATATTCAGAGCGGTAGAGAACACTCCCCTCTTTGTTGAGTGTCTCTTTCTGTCAGGAAAACTGGGGGAGGAAGCAAAAATGAGAGACTCACCTTCAGGGCAGGAATCTCCACATTGTCACCAAGGCTAACAGAGCCAGAAAGAATAGTCCCTGTCATCACGGTGCCTTGACCCTTGATAGAGAAGCAGTGGTCGACTGCCATAAGGAAGTGTCCCGAGGGGTCTCTTGATGGCAGGTAAGCCTGAGACTTGAGGACCTGCAAAAAGATAAAAGCAGCACCATGCCTGGGTGAAAAGTCCTGACAGCCACAAAGCAAGAAGAAGGCAAGCAGATGATTGATTCAACAAGCTCCCTGTTTTACTGATTCCAGGCATCTCCCAGCGAGCTTGGGACACCCCAATGTCAAACTAGCTGCCCGCTCCACAGCGGAGATGCGCGCTTAACCGCGGCAGCACTTCCATTTTCTGCCGCGGAGAGATTGGGTGCTGCACATTCAGCTTGATTAGCAAAACTGCCTCGGCGATAAAGCTCCTGCCAAGCTCCATCTAAGCACTGCAGCAAAGCAAAAACTCCCCTGCCCTTCCCCTCTACTGCTTTTTTACCCTCTTCCAAAAAGCGGATTTTTACAGCGTATTTTGCTACTTCAGCTTCTCTGATTTTGTGGGAACAAACTTGCAAACAGCCAAATTTTGCTTCAGATTTATGTTAACTTTTTTTTGGAGGATCAAGTCACTAAGGGAAATAGCTATATAAGAAGCATTTTCTAGAAACAAAAATCCAGGTTTAAGATTTGCATTTTCTTGAAAAATCTTTTGTTTCTCAGTTACGTACCCAACAATGATTAAGAAGAACTGGTTCATCCCTTGTCTCAAATCATCTTTGATCCCTATGGCTGTTATAACCTCAGCATATATACCTGGCACTGCCTTTAATATATGATTTTAAGGTCATGAACAACAGGTGAAGCCTACGTTGCACTGGCAGAACGATGGGGAGAGAGAGTCTCCTCAAGGACAGAGAGGATAAAACTCTGAAGCTCTTGCCAGCTCTTCTACTATTAAGTCTCAGAGTTGATAAACAGCTGCAATATGGACATTTCCTTGGAGGTTTTTAGGCAAAATAAATCTATCTGGGCCTTGGCAAGAGCAAAACTAAAGGCCCACTTGTCTCCACCTCTCTGATGTTCTGGGAGCAGCCTGGCAGACCAGGTCACATCCCAGTGCTCCAGCTCAGCTCGCAAGGGCCTGCAAGGCCAGTGTGAAATTCAGTGCTTGGAAGTGACGGGGAAACTCCTGTCTTTGTGCAAGCCAGGCTGCTCTTGCTCCAGGCAACACATCTCTAGATCTTATAATTTGTGCTGTGCCCTAACTTTAGCAATTCACAGGTATTTATGCAACAACCAGACTGGACCTTGACAAAGCTACAAAAAATAATGCTGTTGTTTTAGGGCTGCTTTCCACTGCTTGCAAGCAGCTGTGACGTATACTGAGGGAAAGATAATTTTCCCTAATGCTTATTCACAGAAAGGATGACAAGTCTAGTAGAAGCTATAAAGGCCACCCACCTCAAGCCGTAACTCTCAATGTTCTGCCCTCCACAGTGTAAGCTTTTCACTGTATAACATACCACATCATTTAGTTTTCTGGAAAACTGAGAATTTGTTCTTATGGGAGAAGTCAACATTGGTAGAACTAAGAATACTGGGAAAGCATCAGTTTGCTATACCTGTTCATGTAGGCTCTGATATACCCATAATTACACAGCTGTTTTCTCCCCGCCAGGCCCTACCCCATTTAGGGCCCAGGCTGAACCAGGACCGTGCTTCTCACCTCTTGCAGGGGGACAAACCTTGCAATGAGCAAGGCTAAGCAGGCCAAGAGAAAGTTGCTTGCATGGGGAAGGCACATGGTGCTGCTGTAAGGAATGGATTCTGCATTTGCCTGCACCAGAGCTCCTGTGGAGTGTTTCTGTCTTAAAAATGAAGCTTCCCACAAGCCATCCCTGCACGTATTCCTCAGACTGTCCAAGCAGGAACTGCAGAACCTGAGAACAGAAGTGCTAAGCGCTCTCAATGTGATCCAAATGGGCAGGTTCTGTAACCTGAACACGTTAAGTACTGTATATAAGCATGTCCTGAAGGAGTTTGTTTCCTTAAATTTGGCATCAAAAATTAGTGAACACACTGGACTTTGTGCCTCAGCTTTCCAATCTAAACGCGGGATAAAAGTCACCTCTACATTTCATACTGGTGGTTCAGCAGTAAGTTAACGGTTTGCCAAGCGCTCAAGACCACAGTGATGAGTGCCAAGGAAAAGTCCAAGAGGAAATTAATCATTCTGAATGCAGGGCAGTATTTGAATGGAGCCATAAGGCCACACACTGAATAATGAGAGTAAAAAAAAAAAAAAAAGTACCGACTACCTGCTCATTAGTTGAGCCCTATCCATCCTATGCAAGGGATGAGGCCAGATTTATCCAGAACAAAGACTCATGCACTTGAGCACACGAAGGAGACAGACTCAGATGTGGAACTTGAGTGCCTGACTTCCTAACGTTAGTTTTCTTAAATTCTGGGGGTAATTAAAAAAAAAGAACACTCATCATAATTTGGCAGAAATTTAAGGCTACTTTAATTCACTATATTTAGTAATCCCTAACAACTTTAAAACACATTTCAGTACGAGTGACAGCTGTTTCTTGAGATGCAGCTGTTTAAAGGCACTGAAACCAAGCTATTAGAAAAGTACCTTTTTGGGACCCCCCGAAAGAATTAGGTCCCTTAAAACTCAAACATTAATGCGTGAATTCCTTAGCATTAGATAACAGCATGGCATACCCAATGACTTCCCAAGTTTGAGCATATTTTATGGCATTATTATGTTCTTCAACAAGTACCTCAATTAATTCAGAAACACCTATTGGAGTCTCAGACTCTGGGGCTTCCGGTCCACCAGGCTTTGCTGCAACAGCAACAATAGGACATCCACAGAACCTGAAAGACAGAAAGACTCCCACTGTTAGACCACAAGTTTCCTACCGGGCAAATGCAAAGTACTTCCAGGCTCATCTGACAATAAACATAAGGAAACTGCCTTTAATTCCTATTTATCTGCTTCGCCCCACAGTGAATAGCTGACCTTTTCTACTGGAATGACAAGTATTTATGCTTCTTGACTTTACTGCAAAATCTTTAATACAGTTCAGCTTTGCATTAGCCTCCAATTCAACTTCTCCTGGCAGTTAAAAGGAGGATTTGGGTTTATTTCAGAAGCAGGGGCCAGTTACTCCACCTTTCTGCAGCACCTTTGTACTCAAGGCATTTACCCTAGATTAGCACTGCTTTCAGTTTTTACTAATGAGAACCGGCCCAGCTGGAGAGTCCTGAGCTTCAAAACACAGATGCAAGATGGCACGAGATACCTACGTGGGACTGCGAGGCAGCCCGTAAAGTGCGGGCAGGCAACAGTCAAATCCACCTCTGCTGAAACCCACATTTATGAAACTAAGTGGTAACGATCAAAAATATTAAACTGTTGACCGGATAAAAGATGATCTTTTCAGTATGCAGCTTCAGAGAAGAACAGTTCTTCCAAAGCTCATCTCAGTCTAGCTCTTCTCTTGCAATCAATTTTATTAAGTCCTCAATATTTAGCAGCATTTTTAAAGCAGTTGACTTATTACATAACATTTGCTTACTAAAATGCAAGCTATTTTTTTTTCATGTGACAACTTGCTTTGACAACAATTTTGAAAGAGAGGTTGGATTATAAATCAACTCAATATTTCATTTTGCAGAAGTCAAGATTAACAAATTATTTATAAATATTTATATATAAATAAAGTAATGGAATGCTGTACAATAAAAAAGTGATTGGTTATCACAGATGCTTGATCTGTACCAACAGAACCAGACCCACGTCATGATTGCTCTCATCCTTTTGAGTCCTCTCTGCCTTGCCAACTCAGATTGTAATCTCAAAAAGGGAAAAGACTGGAGGAAAAGGACAGTGCCTTGATAAAAGAAAGCTGCTAAATTCTGTACAGGGAGCTCATTTAATGATCAAACAGTAATGCAAAATATGAGGTATTTTCTCTTTTTATCTGCCATAACTCTGAGGCATCTGGGGACAAAGGAATGATAAAACTATGCACCAAGAATCCTACCACCGACCATAAAAGCCTGCACCAAGTATTCCAGGTGATGCATCATAAAACTTTTGGAAATTTATTTTCAAACACATACTTTTGGGCAACATATTGTAATAAATATAAGCTTATGTTGAACCAGGAGCCTTAACTGCTGTTGCCATATGACAGAACAAGCTGGAGAAATCGCATACTGCTTTGGAAGTCAGAAGTACTTCCAAACGTGATGCAGCTCTGCTAGAACTGTCTTACTACATCACACTGATTTATTGTCAGTAGAGTTTAGACTCTGCTGGACGAAGATAAAAGCTGGCATGAGCAACAAATCATGACAACACAGAAATTCCATTCACAGGGACAGTTTGCTTTTACTTTCGTATCAATCTGTGGAATGAGCAAGCCATGATGAGGTCAAATTTGCAAGTGTCAAGCTATTCAAATATATGACAGTTACTCTCCTCTATTTTTTCACCTTCCACAGAATTGCCTGACAACGCTGCAGTAATTTCGCTACCATAAATGGTGACACCTATTCTGCAGTTGCAATACACTTCAGATTTGATTCCTGTTATGGAATTGCCCACACATGTGGGTGTGTGTGTGTGAAGGCCCAATGATCATTAAGTAACAAGTCTGGGAAAACATCATTGCTAAATGTTTGAGATCAGAGGCAGTTGTCAAATGGTTCAGCACAAGTCCTGCTAATAAACATAGTTCAGAAATGCAAACAATTTAAAGCATGCATTTGGAGACTCAAAGTGGAGGGGGAAAGAGGGTGTCAAGAAACAACACGGGCCTGAGATGCCTGGGGACTGGCACTTTACAAGCAGCCCAGGGCAGCGGTGCTTTCAAAGCACCATAAAGCACCGTCACATGCAAACAGTGAATTTGTGTTATGGCAACAACACGTAGACATGTTCAAAAGAAGTGCATTTGAAGAGCCAGAGTTCAAATGACTAACTAAAACATTACAACAGATCGTTTCTCTCCAGGTGGAATCACTGCTATGGTGCAAAGGGTTCCAAAAGTCACTTTGCCTTCAGTTTCCATAACTTAACTTTCAAGACATTCTTTAAGACCCACCTGTATCCTAGGGTGCAAAGAGACAGTGCACATTAATTCAGACAGTGCACATAAGGAAGTACTTCTGCAGACCAGAATCCTTTCAAAAATTTGTGTCACCTTTATGTATGCATGCAACTAGAAAGGTCTTTTTTCCAGTCATGTGTAATATGACTGGGGACTAAATCAAGACCAACCATCTGCAGCAGCAGTTACTGCCATTCATGAAGAATAAAACTAAAATTTTAGTAGTGTGTGAATACACTCAACTATTAAAAGTTCTCGGCTTTCTCCTATAGATTGCAAATATTTACAGATGAGAAATAGACTAAAAAATGTAATAATAATAGAGTGCTGATGAAAATGAATGGACCAAAGGACAACACAGCAGCTGATGAAACAGCAAGGTCTCCACTGTCAGGGCTGCAGCAATGATGGAGCTGAAAGGGGACACTGCTGGACCATCACAGAGAAGCTAAACGGGAATTGCCACATGCAACCAAGCTTTGCTTTTTAGAGCAGATGTCATTATTTCTGCTATGCTCAGTGCTGTTCCTCACACTTCAAAATGTGACTTAACAGTTAGGTATCTGGAGTCAGATATAGTGCCCCATTACAACCTTGGGCAAATCAACCTGTATCTTTCCATCTTTGAATGGACACTTCCATGATCCACTTCAGTCATTCACTTCAGATAATTTACCTGAACCAGACTGATGGCCACGAACCCAGCTATATTCTCCACATAATGTTCTATAAAAGTCCCATCATTCTGCTCTTTCCCTAATTAGAAGGATCACTTCTTATCTTAACTGAGGTTAGGGGATCCTCTAATGTTTTCCTTTCTCTGAGGTTAAAAGACTTGCAGATCACAAACCAAAGTTCTAAGCCCATAAACTAAACAAGTTCTCCTTCACGCAAATACTCTGGAATTGTTTTATAAAATCTGAACTAAAATCACTTCTTTAAACTGAAAAGCTTTGTTGTAGGAAAAATATTTCTTTACATATGATGTTTTCCAGGGGTGATCTTGAGTTTCTTCTAAGTTTTCTGCTCTTTCCTCATCATCTCTACAAGACTTCACTATGTTTGCATTTCCTTTTAACAAAAACAAGATTAGATGTGATTAGAAGCAATTCAAAGTATTCAGGTGAAGTAAAGAACTTTGCTGTTAACTTACTTGGTATTTTCCAATGTCTTCTGCATTTTCTTAGTCATCTTCTCAATGGCACTTTGCCTCTTGCCCTCTGGAAGGAGATCTATTTTGTTCAGAACTACGACCATCTTCTGGCAGGCAATTTGCCCAATTACCAAGCACTCTGCTGACTGCGTCTGCATCCCTTTTGTCACGTCTATTACGAGCATCATCAAATCGATAATCTGGGCACCTGGAGGAGAATTCACAGTCAGAACTGCTTAAAAAGATTAAGCATCATTTCTTTTTCCAAATAGCTTCTGTAAAACAACAACAAAAATATACACACATAGACTCAAGGAATTTAAGCTATGCTATATGGCTATCAGATCATACAAAAGAGGAGCATATGCTTGCTTACACTTTCTACCATATTAACATTAAAGCTGATATCACTGCCAAAGGAAAAAGGAAAAAGGAAAAAGGAAAAGAAGAAAAGTGACCTTGGCAGCAACACATAAATATGTGACATTTATCTGAACTCAGAAAGATAATATAAGCTAGGCTTCTTAGAAATAAGCTTAATATGCTTAAGAAAAAGCAAAGTTCCTACCATTTCTTCCTTTAGAATCCAAAATTTGATATGAGTGAAAACAAGTTCACCTCATAATCAGAACACACATCTTGTGTCATAACCAAAAATAGAACAGATTTCGATCTCTGTTCTTCATAAAAAAGTTCTTAATTTTTGGGCTAGAGTTACTCATCATACTTACAGATTTTTAAATTCCTTTGCTGTACTCATTAAGGTCATAAAACCTTAACTACCTGAGTGAAGCAATATGATTCTCAAGGCTTTAAATAAATCAGTTCTCAAAGAAGCTTACAAGGAACATTGGGCATTTCACTAGTCACGGTCAGACCTCTCCTGTCTCGTTTCTGCTAAGATCTGAGCCCATTCTGGATCACCAGCCAGACGTTAATCTATCACACTGCTAAGAGCCATTTCAAAAGGCAAGTTTTGAGCAACACACCAAAAAAGTAAATTGCAGACTGTAATATAAAAAACTTTATATTTAAAAAAGTAAAGCAAAGATCTTAAGCCAAACTACCAGAAAGTTTCTCATCTAAAAACACATCTCAAAAGCTAGCAAAATACTGCAAAAAGTCATATATGATGCAGAATTAGCAGAACTCCAAATTTAAATACTATTAGTATTTGCCTACAGCTTTTGATCAAAACAACACGAAATTAATGCAACTGTTCCCTGCCCTCTCCAACCCCACTTCTTTCCTTTTTCTGTGCCTTTACAATAGCTGTTGCATGCAAATAGCCACCCTTGTTCGTAATTCCCATGAACTCAGGATAGGAAACCGTTCTGAGGCTGGTGCCTGGGTGAATGTGTGGGTGGAAACTACAACAAGAAAAAAGTTATGGTTACAAACGACCATTTTCAGCCTACTAAAGCTTTCATCTTGTTACAATGAACGCTAGAGCCTGTAAAGAGCTAGCTGAATAATTTTGACATTTGTGAAGTTCCTGCATTTTTTTCCCCCAATCCTTTAAAAAAAATTCTCCAAGACAAACTGTAGACAGACATTATCCCCGCCAGATATATTTTTTTGCATTTACTGTTGAAAAAAGCAGTTTGAATTTAGAACTTGCTTAAATTTTAACTTAAACACCATTGAGGCTGTGCAGAAGACTTTGGTCTTTGGTTATATACTGAACAGAAGTGCAGTGCAAAGAAACTGGGGGCAAGAGGAACGAATGGAAGGTCACTCAAGTGGGGAAAACACTTTGAGCAATCAATATGTGCATTTTTGTGAGTACACATGGTACTTTTTAAGGGTAATACAATGTAATGAGCTTGTGTTTTGTATTAAACTATGTCACATAGCAACTTATTACACAGCTGACACCATTAAAATGAATGGAAATTAATAACTAAAACCAAAGCAGGAAGTTAAATATGATTATTAATACTACAATATAAGTCACATGTCCAGTGAAAGAACAATGTCACAGCATGATTCAGTGTCACAGATTCTATGACTCTGAATACATTTGCCATAAAGCAAATGCTTGCAACTGCTCCATTTGTTATGAATCTATTGAAAATACTAAAAAACAAACAAACAAAAAAAATAGTAATGGGTCCAGTTGTTAGAAGCTCAAAAATGCCTTCCTTGGGGCATTTCATAGCAAAGAGAAGATGAAAAACAGTAAAGGAAAAATCAACAAAAATGCAACACTCCATGGAAAAACTGCAAAAACACTTGAAAAAACATACTAGGGCACTCCAGGAGAAAATGTGATACAGACAAGGAACCAGTGCAGTTCTAGATGTAACTTTAAGATTTAACAAATGAAGAGCAGGAATGAATTACATAAGAACATTATCGGGCATGTAGTCTCATTTACAGGTTTAGGCTTAAAAGGTGATTGCCATACCAAGTGGGGGCATCAAAAATCACGACAAGGCTAAAACAAAGTGCCAATAATAGAGTATGAGAGAATATCTGCCATGGGCCCTTGTGGGGAAAGGGGACAAAATGGAACTGAAAGGTTTATGGCCAGAAAAAGGACAGGATTTTGTCCTCCACAGATAAGGTTAGTGAGGTGGCAGTGGTGAGGGCCCCTAATGCCCTCAAGATGGGAATTATACCACAAGATAAGAAGCTAAATCTTAGGGGAAAATAAAGAAATAGATGCCCAATGATTGATGAAAAAAGAAATAAATAAGGCAGATAAGAGGTCAACACGGAAAATCTGGATGACAGCCAGATATGGGGAAAGGCAACAAGACTGGCAAGAAAGCACCAGGGAGAAGGGGCAGCAAGAACGGGGCCCGCCAGGCTTGGAGGCAGCAGCATTCCTCTGCACCACAAAACGGACAAGACACCCAGAACCTGAGCGAAAACAGCTTCATACAGGACCATGTCTGGTCCCTGCTTGGCACACTCAATCCAGCATTTAACCATAAGCTTGCAAGGGCAATATTAGGGAAATATATATATATATACATATATATATAGTTTCAGCCTTTTGTGTTAGTTCCAAAATTATCTAGCAATTTTGGTGTGACTGAAAAGGAGAACCAAAGGCATTTTCAATCAGTAGACACAACCTGTTTTTGTCTCCAAGAGCAGTAGAAAAAAGCTTGAGAATTTACAACCACCATTATTTTTGCAAGCATCAGATTGTGGGAAAAGTCTGATATGACATTAGCCTTATCAATACAAGCTGCCTTGGCTCTCAGCACAGTAAAAGCGGCACTAGCAGAGGGAAAAGGGGGTCAAGTCCCAGTGAGCGTCCGTGGAGGTTTTCCTGCCCCACCAGCCCTCAGCATAAGCCTCAGATTGGACTCGCTGCTTCTTTAAGCTACTGTGTCCTCTTCTGTTTGCGGTAATCTTTTTAGCTGACTTTGCACAAACAGAACAACTCCTGTTCACAGACACGGAAAGGAAGCAGAAAATGGAATTTGAAATGTAAAAATAAAATAATTGTTGGCCATGGGCTATAATTTGATTTCATGCCTCGCAAGGAAATGAAAGAAGACTTCCTTAAACATACTTTTCTTTTTCTAAGAAAAAAAAAAAAAAGAATATATGCTTTTTACCATGTTAGGACTTCCTCTAGCGCAGGAGAGAAAATAGGATTGTGGAGAATGTACCGTTCTCAAGTATCACTGCTACTCAGGGGCAAGGCTCTGTTTTAATGTGCACTTCCCATTCTGGGCAAGAGGAAATTCTTCAATTAATAAACCGGGTGGACTGAGGCGAGTTTTTAAGGTTTAATCAATTTCATCTGCACTTTGGATAAAAAGACCGACTATTCTACCATTTTTGCCTCCGCTAGTCCCCTTTTTAAAAGAATAATAAAATCAATGTTTTATTTTAAACTCTTTGAGGTTAGTATCTCCTGTTTCAGGAAATATTGTCTATTGCATGCGGCGAGTATGAAACTTGCCCCTTCCCAGCCCCCCCCTTCTTGTTAGGGAGCTTTATTCACAGAGAACTAAATTATTCCCTGCTTTCCTGCACTGCGACACCTCGGAGTTGCTCCAGACTGCACCGGGTTTTGCTCATGCCTTGGGGTGCCACGGTGATGAAGCAGGAAGACGTTCTGCAGGATATGAAACCTTCCAAAATTTCAACAGAAAAAGGAGGTGTGATGGGGTGAGAGACACGCACAGAACCGGGGCACATGAATTTCACATGAAGAAACCCTCTGTAAAGTAATGCAAATGATGGCTCGAAACTGATACCGTAACTTTCACTAGGAAACACTTTGAAAGGAACAGGAACTCTGAAGAGCTGGAGTGTCCCAGCGCCGCTCCCAGGCACGCCGCTCCACCGGGGGCTCGGCAGCTGGAAGCACAAATAGGAAACTGCACAGCTTCAAACGCCCTGCAGTCGGGGATGTCTGCGATAGCAAAGGTCAGACTGGCAAGCCACAAGACTTCTCTGCAAATGCATGTTAAAACTGACAATTATATGCATTATATTTGATCTCTGAACAATAAAGAAATTGCTAGTTGCACAAATTCCCGTTAAATGAAAACCAGGCACTAAAGTCTCCCCTGAGCTGATAGCTACAAAGAGACGGCAGGATATCCAGAAAGACAAGCTTCTAGGAAGCCCACGTCTGATATGCCAAATAACCTGGCATTTACAGGGAATTTTTGTTTGCCTGTTTTTAATTCCGAGTTTGACACAACTGCAACTAGTAACTCAGGGCAAGAAATACCTGCTAATACGGAATGAACGAGATCCTTCTGCAAAAGACCTCAACTAGAAATGCACTTCATGTTCTTCAGGGTTCTGCAGGTAGGGCAGCGCACGGTGCTGTCCCCGGGAGGAGGAAGGCAACGGGAGCTTCTGCCCTTCTCCCTGTCAGGATATCCAAGGATATTTCAAGGCTATTTCAAAATACTTCTAGGGTTGGAGAAAACCAAAAAACTGTCACAAATGGAAGCGCTCTAACTGCATCGTCCCTGGGAAATGAAGAGATGCTGCCCCACAGAATGAAGGGTCCTACTGCATTCGGCCTGTGGGAAAGGAAGAAGGAGCCACCCCAGGAAAAGGCCTCGTGCCTTTTTCACACCTAGCAGTCTGTTTTCTGTAATACTGCCTCTTAATAGATGGAAATTTCAGATCTGGCAGCGAGACAGACTGGGCAGCACCCCAGAGAAGACCCAAGTTTAGTTTAGGGCCAAGCGCACTAACTGCAGAGGGGTTAAAATAAAT